AACCAAGAATTTCAATAGCTTAAAACAGTTGAATGCGATAAGCCCAATTCTGAGACATAGAAATATTTCAAAGGCTATCAAAGTATGAGTTCTGAAAGAATGCGTATGGTAAAACTTATTATACAATTGATAGGACTGTGAATGCTAGGCAATCACCAAAGACAGTGATTAAATGGAAGCAACATTAAGGTGATTTCTTGGAGGGTTGTTTTGAACTTCATGGACGGAAAAGAAATCAAATGATTGAAGGGTCGCCCACTTATAATAATTTAAAAAAAAACAATTAGGAAGAGACGAACACACTCCCTGGGACAGTTGATTTGACACAAAGGCCTTGAACATGAAAACGTTGCTTCTACAGTAAAGACGGACACCAAGACGGCAGGGATAGACCCAGAGCGACTTACTTGGAAAGCGTGAATAAACTAGCCACAAGGAAAGACCAGGACCAAAGAAATAAATGGTGGGCCATGATTGCCGATATCTCTTTCAGATCTGGCACGACATAAACGATGATGATATTTTACACAGATAGTCACCATCACAAAATCCTTGGTGTTAGCTAATGATGCAGCCAGCAACGTTATGATGCCGTCAATGCTTTACTGTGGGATACCGAAAACAGTGAACATTTGCCTTTCTCCTCCCACCCTCATCAATCAAATTCCGAGCAGTGTCGTGCTGTGGCTTATTTCAGATACAGGCTGCACTTACTAACGTTTCTACTCTGTAGGGCTAGAGACAACAATACCTAAGTATATTAGGTAATGGGATAGTATAATTCCCATTTTCAGAGTTTTTCAATCATTCAAACTCTTTATCTGAACCTTGGTTTGATTCTGGCTTATAAACCCACCCAACCCTTTAACAATTGGAAATGGTCCAAGAAAAACTTGGCATGCGGATTTAATTTCGAAAACTTCCAGAATACATATCATAATGAAAAGCTGTTAGACTGAACCTGTACTAAATGTCGATTGATCTATGTCAATCTCGGCAGTTCTTATAACAACACACACTGAGATTAGTCTCTGGGCGGTTGTTGAACTTTCTGGAAAAAGCTATGTTTGTGGAGGGAGTTTTTAGATGAGCGGTTTATTGTTGTATGTCTTCGAGGAAGAAACTTATTTGTTAGCCTTAAAAGATTAATGACGTGTTTTTGAATGTGTCTACAGATGTGTGTTTCTCTTTTACGTCAATTTGTTTTCTCTTGTCTTGTTGTGTATGTGAGCGAGAATAGTATTGTAGTATGTGTTTAACAACCCGTTCAGTACTGTGTAAGGTATTTAAGAGAAGGTTGCTCTGGTTTATAACCTTCATCTCGAAAGGAGCGAACAGGATGAATGGAGAGCTACAAAAAGCCTCTAAACTCTAATCTCTTTTGCCCCGTTAAGGATCCAGACCAGTGCCATCAGCATAATACCGAATATGTTACCATCTGAGTCAACAGATCGCCTGGAATACGACTCTGGAACAATCCCCACCCCGTCCTTCCCACTCCCTCTTCTCCACTAACCACTTCCTCTGTATTAGCGAATGGCTTGACTCATTACGGACATAGCCCTCCCCCCTTTCTTCCCCGCACCCCC